GACAAACCATTAATTTTCGACCTTTAACCATATGAACTAGATTTGAGGGTATATAACAAAATCTAAAACAGACCAAAAATTATATGCAGTATATAAAGTCCTTATTATGTGAATTTGACCCTCAGGGGTTAAAATTTAAAAGGGGTTAGGGAAAAAATAGAGGAAAAGGAAAAAAAAGAAGAGGAAGAGATTAGAAGTAAGGTTGGAGAACAAAGGGGGATCATGCTAACTTTGGGAAACTGATACAGAAGACTGGAGGGAAAGACAGAAGGATGAGAAAAAAGAATAAAACAGAAGAATCACAATGAGGCTAGAAACCACATTCACACTCATATAATAACAAGATCAAACAATGAAAGAGAGAAAAACAAACAAAAACCAAAACCCAAAAGCAAAACCACAACAACAACAACAAAAATGAGAAAGAAAAAAAACGTCCAGTTCCACGGTTGTCTCTGCTGTCACTGGTAGAGAACATGTGGAGACAGAGTCCTGACTTACGCCAATCTACCCCAGCAAGCCAGCAGTAGCTTTCTGACAGGGTAGTGGATAATCTCGTGAGCCTGCACCTTCTGGCTAAGATCAGTTCATTCTGCCTGCAGCTGTCTCTGCACCTCCCAAGGGACTGAGCCCAGCTGGGAGTTGCAAGATGGAGCTTGCAGCTGCTCAGAGCTCTGAGCTCCGCCAGCCCCTCTCCAAGATGGCTCCTGGCCCATCACTCTCTCCTGCGGGAGGACTGCTCACCCCCAGATAATGCAGTACTTCATGTCCACTGCTCCCCTCCACTCTTGTCTCTCTGTGGAGCCCTCTGGGGTCACCAGCAGTCACCGTGTGTCCACAGGTTTGAATCACTCCTCTCAAGCAGAGAGTCCTGTCTCAGGGAGAAGGTGCTGCTGGCTACTCCTCTTTGTTCTTTGTTGAAGTTCCTCTCTTTACTCCATGTGCTTGCTTCAGATCCTTCCTGCTTCCAGGAGACCCACTTCCCTCCTCCTTGTCTTCCTCACATTGCCTTATTCCAGTGCCTCGGCAACTCTCAGAAAGGCTCTTTCTCTGCTGCTTACCATGCCGCCATCTTGGTGCCTCCTTAATTTCTTTAAAATCTTTGAATTATTCAATATTTTATTCCTTCTTGAATCACACTATATATTGTCACAATGTATTTTCTTGTCATCTTAATCAATGACATGCTCTTTTTTCATTCACTACATTATTTTTGCTTTATTTTTCCTCAGTGAATTTCACAAGTTTATCCGTTTTGTTTATCTTTTCAGGGAACTAACTTCTGACTTTTCTTTCTTTTTTTGGACTGTTCTCATCTTTGCTATTGTATTAGTCCACATCTGCTGTACACAGTGATTGCAGTCCTCATGGGGAGTGGGAGCATGGACAGAGCACTCTTCTTCACCCTCTTCCCCTGCCCCACCCTGTCTCTTCATGCCCTTCCCTTTCACAAAAGGTCTTTCTTTTTACTGTTATCTTCTTGTTTTGTTTTGTTTTTTAAGGGACTCAGACTCAGGACCTCATGCTGGCCAGGCAGGTACTGTACCACTGAGCTAAATCTTGGCCCCTTTTCCTATTATCTTTTATCTTGTCCTTCATTTACATTTTGGGTTCCTTATGTAAGAGAAACTATGCAATATTTAAGCTCATGCATCTGATTTATTTCACTTAACATTATAGTCTCAAAGTGCACCCTTTTTTTTTTTTTGAGATGGGATCTTGCTATGTAGTTCAGACTGCTCTTGCACACACTATGTAGCCCAGGGTGGCCTTGAACATGTTAAAATCCTCCTGCTTCAGCCTCCCAAGCTCTGGGATTACAGGTACCTGCCCGGCACCATTTTCTTTATAACCAACTTCATTGGTTTCTTTATTATCTTGTTCCTCCTATGCTCTTTGATCTTATTGTTATTTTTTTAATTGTGAGTGTATATATAATCTACAAATTCATAGTTCTTTTCCTTTCATGTACTGTATAAGCATTTATGATTATAAATTTCCTTAAATCCATTACTGCTATGGTTTATATCTAGATGTCCCTCCAGAGCCTCATGTACTCGTAAGTTGGGCTTTTGGGAGGTGGCTGGATCTTGGGGACAGACACTCATTAGAGTCCATTGATGAGTTTATAGCTAAATGTGAAGCTGGGAGGTGAAGCCTGGTGGAGGAGGTGTCCCTGGGGGTGTGGCCGGGAAGGGTCCTCCTCCTTCCTCCTCCCATGCGCTCTCTCTGCTTCCCACTGCCTGCCATGAGCTGTTTCTCCCCTGCCATGCCACCTTGTCATGCCACTGTGCCTTGAGCCAGCTGATTATGGACTGAAACCTCTACAAACCGTGAGCCAAAATAAACCTTCCCTCCTTAGAGCTGTAGGTGTCAGAGACTGAATTTCAAGAACAAGAAAGAAACTAAGGTAATTACTTCCATGGCATGCCAGTTTTGATCAGTAGATTTCAGTGTGATTTTTAACATTCATTCACTTCTGAGTATTTTAAAATTTCCATTATGATTTTGTCTTTGAACTATGGGTTATTTAGAAATGGAAATGCTATCATTAAAGGTTTTAACAGTCAGCAAGTGAACTGCTTAAATGTACATTAAAATATTGCTGTCACTGGATGAAAACAGAAATGAAACACTGGCTGCCAGGATCTGAGGTGAGGCACATTCCATCTCACTGCGGGCAGTGGGAAGAGCTGTAGCTGATAAATTTGAGATATGCCTTGGAGACGGAAAAATTTGAAGTATCTGACTTGTGGGCTGAAGGCAAAGACAGTAGGAGAAATCACAGTGACTCAGCTGGTTTTGGCCCTGCAAGACCTGACGGGTGTGGAGCCATTTCCCAGTGGATTATAGGAAGAGACCTGAGACAAATCATACATTTCTGTTCTGACCCAATAAGCTTAACAGGACAATCAGACATTCAATCAGAGAGGGCAGGAGACACCTGGACACATTCGGGCTGGATGGGTAAAGCCAGGAGTCGTTAGCATGTAGATAACGTTTACTGCCACAGGACGGATGAAGTCACGAGAAAGTGGAAACAGAAGACCAGAGGCTACAAGGTTCTGACTCCAGAACTCCTACACAGTGGTGCCTCGGGACTGCCATCCAGACAGCATAGGAAGTTTATCTCTACTTGCACTGCAGAGAAGGAAGCACACTGCGTTTAGACTGCATATGGTCTGCAGCAGTGTAGGAACAGAAAGGGTGATCTTAGGAGACGACAAGGGTGCGCAAAAGCCTTCCCCTAAACTCCCGTTTGTCTGAACAGCACTGGGAGAAAATTTAAAAAGCAGAAAGTGATTCCCATTCCTCACTGTACCTTTGTATTAAACCTCATGTGCATTATAAAAGCCCAGGAAAGACAGATATGGTGGCATGGATCTGAGGCTGAGGCAGGAGGATCACTGTGAATTCAAGGCCATCCTGAATTGCATAATGAGACCCTGTCTCCAAAAATAAATAAATAAATAAATAAATAAATAACAAAAGCCTGGAAAAGTCTGATCCAGAGCTACTTTGGCCAAGGCCCCAGTGTCGGTCACTCCGCACTGGGCTTCTGCTGCTGGGAACACGCCGGCTCGCGCTAGTGGGGGTGCGCTTACTCTCCAGGAACTCCATGAGGCTGCCTCCCGCGTCGATGCTCACCGCATTGAAGCCTTGCGTGGGTGCCACGCTGCGCAGGACTCTGTTTGAAGCTAAGGTGTGGAGGACGCTGGTTTTCCCTGCTCCATCCAGGCCTAGAACTAGGATCTGCTTACTCTCCTCCTGCAAAATGAAACATCACCAATAAGCCTGTGCTATCAGAACCTTGCTTTCCTAGCTACTGACAGCATGTCTGCCTGTGGCAGGGCCTATGAATGGTCCTAAAATCGCAAACCAGAGCAAAACTTCACAAACATCGGTGTAAGTCTAAATCAAAATAGTACCAATCAGTGAATGTTTTTTTTGTACAAGGAATCAAACTCAGGACCTTACTCTTGCCAGGCCAGCACTTGTGCCACTGAGCTATATCCCAACAGTGAATATTTTCTAGTTAGCCTTTACTAGTTATGTGTTGGTAACGTTTCTGCATCCCCTCACTCCTGGTCAGGGTAAACTTAAGAAGATGAATTCTACCGATACACCGGCCTGAGAGATCATCATTGCGAATGACCAAGGTAGGAGAAGGGCAGGCTGGTGTGCAGACACAGGCAGTCTGAGGTATGCTGTCTATGGTGCAAACTTTATTAACAAGTGAGCAACAGTACAGCCAGACTGCTCAGGGGACTTCAATTCTGTTTCCCAAACAGCTTAATAAAGAGGTTTCTCATGGCTGGGCTCAGAGGTACGTGCCTGTAATCCCAGCTAGTAGGGAGGCTGAGGCAGGCGCACCACAAGTTCAAGGCTGGTCTGAGAAATACAGCAAGACACTATCTCAAAACAAAAATAAAAAAGGGCTAGGGTAGAATGCCCTGGGTTTGATCCCCAGAAACCCCCAAATTTACTGTGCACAAAGAAACTAATTGTTTTTAATAGCACTGGTGCAAAGTCAAACATGGTGTATAGCTGTCATCCCAGCATTTGGGAGGCCCTGGCAGGAGGATCACAAGGTCAAGCTCCGCAGGGGCAATTCAGGGACCTGAGACCCTCAGGGGAAAACAAAACAATACAGCCTAGGGATGTAGCTCAGGGTGAAGGTCTGCCTTCAGTCCCCAGTAACATGCACACTCACGCACACACACCGGTTAAGAAACAATCTTACGCTTTTCTGCTTGAATACATGTTGACACGAGGCTTAGACTTTTGGAAAAAAGTGACTTTAAACCGCATTAGAATGCCTTCTGTAGTATTTTTCTTAAAGATCTATCTATGTGAAAGGGAGTTGTTGTCAGAGCTGGCTTAACAGAAACGTGTGTAGAAAGCATGATCTATGAAGGCTAGGTAGTGAGTAACCGAATTTGAGGAGGTACGCATTTGCTCTTGGGATGAGTTCGTGATGGCTCCAAAAACAAACACATTTTCACGGTCTTTCCTGCTTCGTTCCTCCCTGCCCCCACTCCCTCCAGCTGCGTCTGTGTGTCATGTGCCACTCTGGGAGTACTATGGGAAGAGGACTTGACACACGCAGGAGAGTTCACCAGAGGTTTTAAACCACACACTTTGAAGCAACAGTGTCACCAACGGATGCAACACACAGTGTGGTTATGCCCCATCTCCACTGGAGACCCCACTCACAGTACCCCAATATACTTCGTGATGCGTGCCCCGCCCCATTGTGACATCTCTGAATCTGGGACTTTTTACGAGCAATTGTATGTTTTATTGGCAGGGTTTTTTTTGTTTGTTTTTTTCCTTTTTATTGGCAGGGTTTTTAGTGACAACTAAAATCAGCATGCGAGGTCCTTTATTAAAGCAGAACTTGGAGCTCTGTAAAATCCAGTTCAGGAGAGCAGCTCCTCGGGGAACCCCTCCCTGGGGAACACAGGCTTGCGCCTTCTCACTGATGAGGGAGACACTTCAGGCAGTTCTCTCATGGGAATCTCCCCCCTTAGAGGGGTGACACTGGGTACCAACACGGATAAAACTAACGAATAGGGTTATAGACAAGCTTCCCAGCACCCTAACGCCCTGATTTACCCAGGATGTGTTTTCTGTGGAGGCTGAGAGGGTTCACTGCCTGGATGGCTAACTGCCTTTGATTCACTTCTGCATCTTACTTGCTTCGCACCACGAATTGTATAAAAGGGGACCTTTCCTTGTTTCGGGGCCCAGCCTAGTTTTGAGCATTTCTAGCGGCTGGGATGGTGCAACATCCAAGCCCTCCTGAAAAATCCCTCCTGGTCTCTGCAGTTTCTTGGAAATTTTGCAACGCTATGAACTGTTATTAAACAATTCTCTGACGCTTTTCTAACCACACTGCGGCCCCTCAGGCCATCCTCACTAGAAGTCCTGCGCTGGTGTTTTCCATTTTGTTTCTAGTCTCAGTCTAAGATAACAAGACTTTGGGCTGGGGACGTGGCCCTGTGGTACAGGACAGGTGCAGGGCCCTGGGCTCATCTCCAGTACCAAAAATAAAGAAAAGAGGCGGAGAAAAGACAAGGAGAGAAAATAGAGGACTTCTGAGTTTTATCATCTAGAGAAAGCTGAGCTCATTGTGTACCACGAGTTCAGATGCGCCGTGGCACACGACTGTGATCACAGCTGCTCAGGAGGCCGAGGCAGAAGGAGCAGAAGTTCTAGGCCAGCCTGGGCAACTTAGCGAGCCCGTCTTAGTATAAAAAGGGCTGGAGATGGAGCTCAGGGCTACAGCCCTGTGTGAGACCCTGGGTTCAGTCTCTAGCACCTCACAGAAACATCATTCTGTACACCTTTGTCAAAGGTTATTCCTTGAGCCGTAGGCGGGCCCATGTAATCTGTACACTGCCCTGGATCCAATTGCCGTTAATAATCCAAATTGTGTAAACCAGGAAGCCGCTCTGGGCCAGTGACCAGCCCAGGAGCTCCAGGAGCGCCGAGCCCCCCAAGCTGAGCCCAGCAGCGTCTCGGTGCTGAGGCCTCTCTGTAGCACAGCAGCAGCCCACGAAAGGGGCCGGAGCGCCCGCACGCAGCCGCTTACGTCCAGGAGCCCGCACGTCCCGCAGAGCCGCGTTCACGGCGCGTTAGGAC